TCCATCCATCCATCCATCCATCCATCCATCCATCCATCCATCCATCCATCCATCCATCCATCCATCCACCCTGCGGAGATCCCTGCCAGATTCCAAAGCTCACTGGGTGCACACTGAGAGGGTGCTGGGGCCATGACATTCCCATGACATTTAGCTCAGCAGATGCGGATTAAGAGCCTGGTGATGATCATTGGGTGAGGCAAAATGGGAGAGAAGAGCTCCAAGGCTGAGTCCATCCCAGGGGCAGCCCAGCTCAGGGTCAGCAGAAATCTTCTGTTCCTGCTCACCATTTAGCAGCAGCTTCTCCCCAAAACAGCACCTCTCAATGTGGAGTGAGGCCAAGACACAAGGAAGAAGGGGGATGTGCCTCCGTGGAAGTGGTTAACCCACAGTCCCAAACTGATTTTTGCTGTCAGGGCTCCCTCCTGCTCCAGCCACTTCCTCTCTCACAGGTGGATGTTCTCAAGATGCAGACTTGAGAGAAAACCCCAATTCCCAGCATTTTGCTGCACCAGCARCTCAGAGCCCCCAAACCCCTTGGGGTGCTCGGGGGTGCTTCAACACCAGAACCTCATCCCACTGTCAGCCCCAGCCCCAGCCCTGGCAAAGCCACCCTTCCCAAGCCTGTTCCTGCTCCTGTCTGATTCACATCACACCATTCCTGTTCCAAGAGGAGGGCAGAGGCTCAAGCAGTAAAACAGACAACCCTGCCCATCAGCCCCCGGTGTTTGGTTGACAGCTCAGTTGTTTTCTGTCACTGAGGATGCAATTTATTTTTTAATAGCACGTCTAATAAGCGATGCCCACTTGACTGACAGCCTGCTATTTATCCATGTGGCTCCAGAACATGTGCTGTGTTTTATAAATAGGCACTGAATGATTTCKGAGATGTTCAACAAAATCTATTCTTCTCCGAACTGAGGCTCCAAACAGAAATGTCTTAATGGATCCCTAATTAATTGCGTGCAGGGAGATTTTCCTGAGAGCACAGGGGAGGGATGAGAAGGTTGTTGTATAAATATTAAATGTTGTTATATAATTGCTCTGTAAACATCGCGGGGRAATCTTGCTCTCTGCATGTAGCATCTCTTGGTCAGTAATTTGGGCTCTGTAATGCAGATTTTGGTGAGAGGCACAGCTGGRTTGTGGATCTCTGCTCCTTGGCTACCCTTGAGGAAAATATCCTTCCTGAGGGGGATAAAAATCAGGCAATTTTAGGTTTGACACTGTTTTGAAAGACAGTTGTTGATGGCCAAAGCTAGGGCGTCACAAGTCTGGTCTCCAGCTCACACCTGCACCCAAGGAGGGGAGTCTGGGTGCTCTTGAAAAGCTGTGAAAAGGGTTTTTTTTTTAACTATTCATTCCTGTTTCTCTTGTGTAGGAGCTGCTGCRACAGGGCTGTGTTTTCCAGGAACGCCATGGCTGGGAGAGACCTGGCTGGTTCAGCCCTGGGGGAGCAGCCCCGGTAAGAAGGGCATGGGGTTTGGGGGGTGTTCAGCCTGAAGGACCAGCTGTGGGAGGATCCATCATTATGAGAGGGGATGTGGGGGTGGGGATCCATCCCCATGGAMAGGGATTTTGGGGTGAGGAACCATCTCTGTGGGCAGAGATGCTGGGGTGGGGATCGATCACTGAGGGAAGAGATGTTGGGGTGAAGATCCATCTCCATGGACCAAGATACTGGGGTGGGGATTCGTCTCTGGGAGCAGAGATGTTGGGGTGAAGATCCATTTCCATATATGGGGATGTTGGGATGAGGATCCATGTTCATTGACAGGGATATTGGGGTGGGGATCCATCACTAAGGGCAGGGATATTGGGATGAAGATCCATCTCCATGGACCAAGATATTGGGATGGGAATCCATCACTGGGGGCAGAGATGTTGGGGTTTGTGTCCATCTCCATGGACAGGGATGTTGGGGTGGGAATCCTTCACTGAGGGCAGGGATTTTGGGATAAGGATCCATCCCCATGGATGGGGCTGTTGGGCTGAGGATCCATTTCCATGGGCAGGGATGTTGGGATGGGGATCCATCACTGAGAGCAGGGATTTTGGGGTGAGGATCCATCCCCATAGACCAAGATATTGGGATGGGGATCCATCACTGGGGTGAACAGGGATGCAGTGCTGGGGACCCACCACCCCAGCCATCTCTTCTGGTGTGGGGTGAACATGACRAAGAGTCCCTTGGCTTCAGCCTCACGTCACCCTCCTCACTGTCCCYGTGTTCCCACCACCCTCAGGTCCTGGATTACGATTACTACGGTGCCTACGGCCGGGAGCGCCACCAGGACTACACCTACAACCGCCTGCTGGGGGACGAGTACACCTTCGACTTCCCTCCTCACCACGACATCGTGAGTGGGGCTGACAGACCCCTCCTGCCCTGCCAAAACTGCCTGGGAACTGGGGGATTTACAGGCAGCGCCCCATYGCTGCTTTGGGTGGAGCTCAGAGAGAGGGGAAGCACCAAAACTGGGGAAAATGTTGGAAAATGTTAAGGGAAACGTGTGGCCCGTGCTCAGAAACCTCGATGGAGAGGCCACAGGGATTATGCTGCTGCTTTCCTAAAGTGTTGAGACCAGCTTGGGGAAAAAAAATCAATCTGATAAAATTTTGGTGATATTAATGACAACTGTCACGGAGTTAGTGAGGTAAGGAATGGGATCAAGGGTTTGGGATGGCCTGTCAGGCTCGCTCCAGCAAATATCTGATTCTTTCAGGAGAGCTTTGAAGCTGTGCAGCCTTTTAAAGGCACCAGGCAAATGTCCTGGTATCATTTCCCRTTACATAAATGCTGTAATTTGTGTTTCCCTTGGTGGGCTGAGAGCATGGCTCAGCCTCGGCRCTGTGTTTGCTCTAATTGCAGATCAGGAATGAATGTTTAACGTGCAGGAACACCCTGGCTCTCTTCGACATGTCTTATTTTGGGAAATTCTACCTGGTTGGACCCGAGGCTACGAAAGCAGCCAACTGGCTGTTCAGTGCTGATGTGAACAAAGCTCCAGGTACAGGCTCAGATCCTTGTTTTCCTGGGAAATCATGCCCCAAAACAGCCCAGGGGAAGCCAGACTGGCTTTTCTTTAAAATGCTGCCTTTGCAGAGGGTATGGGAAGCATTTGGGAGAGGCTGCTTTCCCTGTCCTCAGGAGAGCGTGGATTCTGCCTCATTTACACGGGGGCTCGGTGCTCTGAGCTCGGGGATGATGGAGGGAGGTTTCCCTGTGGCTCCAGCTGTGGCTCACATCTGGAGGCACGATGGTGCTGGAGTAAATAGAGCACACCCCCTGCCAGCTGTGGTTTGCTGTCCCCTTTTCCGAGGCTGGCAAGCAGCTGCTGGCATTTCCAAGGATGTGAGATCAGCTCCTCACACAGAGGAAAGGGGAAAAAGCATCGTTCCTTTGCTCCAACTGCTGCAGGGCCGTTTAGGGCAAAGCCAGGCTGCTGAGATAACRATGGGGACACTTTTCTCTCCCTCTGCCCCACGGCTCCGTGCCGGTGATGGGCAGCGTGCCCGTGTTCCCCGCAGGCTCCACGGTGTACACCTGCATGCTGAACAAGCAGGGAGGTGTGGAGAGCGACCTGACGGTCAGCAGGATCAGCCCCGGGGCCCCGGGCTCGCCGCTGGCCCCCGCGTTTGAAGGTAAAAACCCCGGGGATGCTGGAGTGGGGTGCATTTCTGCGAGCGTTTCTGTGAGCGTTTCTGCGAATGTTTCTGCCTTCTCCCTCCTGTCGCTGAATTCCCAGTTTTTCCCTCTGCCTTTCAGCTCTGTCAATGCACACAAACACCTTTCCATCCCTTCCATGCCGGGGAGGTTTTGTTYCAGCACCTCCTCCATCCCCGCCGCGCTGGAGGGGCTGCAGGCACAGCGGTGATTGCATTTTCCTAATGGCAGCCACATGGCTTTTTCCACCTCTGTCCTTCGGTCCCTGTAACCTGATTATGTCCCSTGTCCCCGGGGCCCTGCGCTGCTCATCGCTGTTATTGGGTTTGTCTGACCCCTGCCCGAGCCCTTATCAGCGGTAATTAAGGAGAATGGAGAGGGAGCAGAGCGGCCCCGGGGGCAGAAATGGCATTAGGCAGCTGCGGAGGAGGATGCTGAGCTCGGCTCCGGCCAAGCACAGGGTGTCCCTTGGGTGGCCGGTGCCACAGAGCYCTGTCCCCACGCTGTGTCACCCTCAGGTGTGGCTTTGGGGGTGATCTCACCCCGTTTGTCCCAGGACAGTGAGGCATCAGTGAATTCTCCCCTTCCTTGTTGGGAGAATCCTTCATYCCTCRTGTCTGGGATGCTGGCAGAGGAATSAGAGTGATGGGAAGTGGATGGCAGAGCTGCAGGCTTTGTCGGGCACTGGAGGAGTTTAATCACAGCAAAGTCTATTTTTCCAATTACAGTAGGTGGCTGCACTTATTATCATTATGGCAGAATATCAGAGAGCAATTTCGTGGCAGCAGGAGAGGCAGAGGGAAGATTGATTACGTATTAATCAGCTCTCAAGCACCATCCCTGGGGATTTTTCCACCGGGGATTACTGGCGAGATGAAGCCCTTCCTCATACACAGTGCAATCCCCACCGTGGTTATGGGATGGTTTCTGTTCCCTGCTCCCACCTGGAGCTCACAGCTCCCTCCACATTTGAGGATTTGTTCTGAACTGGGACAGAAGTGCAGAGCTTTTGCTGTTGGTCTCAAGGATTCTTTCCTTGTTAATGGTTGTTTGGTTTTCACAGCACTGAGCCCCACAAAGAGCAGAGCCCCAAAACCTTCCCTTATCCACTACTCTTGAACCCCCTCCTTTTCCTGGCAGTCCCCAGTGGGGCTGTGCAAGCTGGAGAGGCTCAGGGCTGCCCTTCAGGCTCTGCAGAGMAAAACCAGCCCAGCCCAGCACTCT